CGAAAATATTTTAAACGCAGGTGTGCTGTCAGAGACGGATAATAGTCTACGTTTTCAAATAAATGTTGCATTTTACTAACATCATTATGCATGCGCATTTTCACTTGTTTGTTTTGAGTACCTAGCTAAAAGCCTGTTTCACCCGAAAAGAATGATTATTTCTTTGCAAGGCTTGAAACATTCGCTAAGCACCGCGGTGCAATAAAGACACAGCGATGAATCAAGACCACAAGTTCTTGTCCACGTCGTCTTGTTTCGTCCTTCTGTTTGTGGTGCACTGTTGTCGATGCATTAACAAGCCAAACTCGCCACTTCAATCAAAATTTAAAACCGTTTCTTTTTCCAGTACTATACTGAACGCAACGCCCATTCCATGGCCGCCGCTGCTGTCGGAAAAGTGAGAGCAGTGTAGTTATATGCAGTACGCACATAGGCTAAGATTGGAAGGAGCACTGAGTAAGCAAGATAAAGTTAGCAAGTTAAGATATTGCTTGCTGCTCATGCATATATATAGAAAAAAGCAGCAAAATAGGAGCAGTACTTCCGGTTACGTTGGTATGAAACAGAACAAGTATTCATGCTTCCGCTGCTTCGTGGCTAGCTCACACAACAGAACCCGCTTGAGAAAAATGTCTTCCCATCTCTCTCCAAAGCCGTGCAGAAAGGTGCCGGGCACTCCCACACCACGTTAGGGGTCATTTGGAATCCGACGGCGTCGAGCGAAAAGTCCCCCCGATCGCCTGAGCGACACGCGTCATTGAATCACGTGGTCGACCGAACCACCCAGCGCTTGGTCGGCACGGTATGTAACGGGCGCCCAGAAAATTGACACTTCTCGGTCGTGTAAAAAGACGACGTTCGAGCCTTGGTTCGCGCCGCGTCGGCGCCCTGGTTTTCCCACCCATGAACTCCCGTCTCATTTACTGCACACGTGGACTCCATTTCGTGCGCCCAAGAGCTCACCCGCGTACAGCTACGCGCTGCCGCTACAACCTTGGGAGACACCATTTATTTAGCCCGTGACGTGCGCTCCGCCCGCATGGAAGGCTAGGAAACTTTTCTTTGCGTAGCACCGGGAGGTGAGTGTTCAAATGAAAAGAGCTCGACGTGTGAAGACAAACGGAGACGCTCCGTGCGTTCCAGGTCGTTTTATTCAACGCTGGGATCCACGTAGAAGGATTCTTGCAAAAATGGCAGCGCTTACTGATGAGTGCCCGTCAGAAATACCGAGCGCTGTTCAACTATATGGTACGATATTGCACTAAAGGCGTATATTCTCTGTGCGTATTGTGTTGGTATTTTTTTTTCGTGCTGGCGTTTGGTGCATCTATACATTTTCTTCTTACTTTTGTGGCACCGTTCATCAAAAACAGGGTTGGCTTTATAACTGCACATGAATAGATGAATCATTACTAATAATTATTCTTGCGTACTATCACGTAATTGTCGACACATATTCAACAATCTAGATTTCAATATTATCTGGGACATGCGGAGATGTCGTGATTGTATTCTGCTTCGTTAAATATTTATACGCTAAAAATTAAAACTTGGTATGTCTCGTATTAGCCGGGAAAGAATAATGAGCGAAAAGAAGGCTAAAGAAGGAGGGGGAGGTGGGGGGGCTCAGCGAATGGGGAATCTAAAGGGTGCTGCTTCTGATCCGCATTTTCCAGCCCATATCACTGCACGGCAATGCCTAAAGAACTGAGGTAAATAGGTAGTGCGGGAGCAACTATTATTTTGCTGAACATGCAATAGTTGGGGCCCGAGTGAGAATAAATTATTGATAACTTGCGCCAGCAGCGTTTTCCGCGTCGCATGTCCGCACGCAAGAGCGTACGTAAATTGTCGCTAAAGGGGCTGTGCAACGCTTTTTGCGAGTAGCCATGGAATGAATTTAGTAAAAGAGCTTATAGCCTGATGAAGTGACCAACGCAAAAATGCTTGGAATCTGTCCAGTACGAGCGGAGTTACCAATATTTGTCGCACGCTGTCGCTGCTTTCCCCCTTGTCTCGTCTCGACGAAAGTGCTATATATATATATATATATATATATATATATATATATATATATATATATATATATATATATATATATATATATATATATATATATATATATATATATATATATATATATGTAGAGAGAGAGAGAGGAATAAATGGGGGAAAGACAGGGAGGTTAACTAGAAATCGGATAATCCGGTTTGCTACCCTGCACTAAGGGAAGTGGGAATGGGAAAGAAAGATGGGAAATAAAGCGAAGAGCGAATGCGCAAAAAAGAAAAAAAGTGATAGCTGGTGTGCTATAGCCTATACGATAGGCCACTACCACGCAAAAAGCGCTAGAATCTATCTATCTATCTATCTGTCTATCTATCTGTCTATCTATCTATCTATCTATCTATCTATCTATCTATCTATCTATCTATCTATCTATCTATCTATCTATCTATCTATCTATCTATCTATCTATCTATTGATTCTCTCGGTTCTGAAGTACGTCATGGTAATAAGCAATATGCCAAATCATTTTTTGACACTTATGCGGAGACGAAGAAACGGTTAAGAGGTCATTCTGGTGACTCACCTCCACTGATAATAAGTTAGCTTAATCATCACAGCCTTTTCACTTGAGACAAGAAGATAATTTCTGTAACCCGAGTGAGCAACGTAACATGCTCACTATAACGTAACAGGACAGAGGACAGCAAGAACAACAAATGCTCTTTATGTTATATATATATATATATATATATATATATATATATATATATATATATATATATATATATATATATATATATATATATATATATATATATATATATATATATATATATATATATATATATTATATATATATATATATATATATATATATATATATATATATATATATATATATATATATATATATATATATATATATATATATATATACGGGAATGACCATCCGCTAAACTTCGTTTGCTATTCAGCGCGATCATTTCCGTCAGCCGAGTGCATTTCAAGGCATGCGATCGCGTTGCACACCCCCTCTACATTTTGCCCGGTGTCAAGCCGATCTCGGGCGACTTTCGTCACTTTGCGTGCAGCTTGTCAAAGCCTCGCCCGCAAATTCCGCGCACGTCCTTGCCGCGGTTGTGTCGGGAATCGCGTATCGGGAACGAATGATGTAGCTTCCACGCAAGTGCTGCGAAAAGTCTTTTTTTTTTCTTTTCTCCCACGAGATACAAGCTACAGACATGGCGAGAGAGCGGCGCGAGCCAGCCCTCAAGCTCTCCTGGCTTGGAGGCGCGCAAATGAAGGCAGGAAGTAGAGGGAAAGAGGGAGTCCACGAATGTTCAAGTTGAGCCGTGCTCTTGCCTTCGGTTGCAAAGCGTTGAAAAGGCGTGACAACGCTGGCAGCCGTGCCAAATCAACGCCGCGTCACGTTTGCATTCAGGGTGCAACAACGGGATCTCCCGGTAGGCTTTGTTTTAGCCAGTCGCACGTCGTCTGGTTTTCCTTCGCTTCGTGAACGCTGTCTCTCCTCTTCTCGCGTTTCTCGTGCCCAGCGCTGATCTCGCCGTACCAGACTTCTTGCGTATCTGCCTCCCTGCTTGTGCGCTTGTTTGTGGTCTCGTTTTCCTGGGCCACGGCGTATAGGGAACGTGTCTCGCGTTCTCTTTACGAATGACAGCGGGTGGCTAGAGGAAAATAAGCTAAAAAAACACGGTTCAGAGAATGTGTGACATACGCTATTGTGTAGCAGAACGTGACCTGTCGGGGCGTGCCTAAAAACAAACAAACCCAGAATTTAGAAACATGTTAGTCAAGCTTAACGTTTATTTCTTGCCTCATGGTATTCACTCGATATCTTTTTTTTTTTGCTTGGCCAGTGAAAAAACGAATTTTCAATGTGATATATTCACCTGAAGAGACATTCTCGAAGCCTTACAGATTAATTTTGGTTATAATAACGTCATTTATGAAATCAATACAGTTGTATAATGTGAGACTGCTTCCAGTCGGGCAGTTGTGTACTGGCATTGGATAACTGCTCAAACCCCACTTTTATAGAAACAAGTGTACTTTACTTAAAGAACGCAGATAAAGTGTGGTTTGGAATGTTCAGGGTAAAGGTGAATTCGATCGGACGCATGCTTGTAACAACACAATATGTTTTCGTTTCATATTACGCACATTACGTGAAATTAAGGATTTCTGTTAGGCACAGAAGATTATGTTGCGAGAGACAACGGGAGTTAAGGATGGCATAGTCAGAGACAAATACTGGGGGGGGGGGGGGATGCTAGTATCGAATTCTTTTAAAAAGTCGATAGAGAAACTGTGCAGGACGGGAACTTCCAGGTGAGTACTGCCAGTCTACGGTGCATGGCACCCTTAAGTATCCCCTTAGCGGCGGGTGTCTGCGTTTGTGTATATGAACGTGTTTGTGATAGTTGTGTCATATTGTGATCAAGAAAGGACAAGATGTATTGTTGCTTAAATAAATAGAACCCTCTGCGTAGTAAGTACACCTTCACTTAAGCTGAACGAGCAGCGCATGAACGTAGCTATTCACTTCAGTGAAGACACTACGATGTGCGACGCGTCGTTCGACGTGCCACGTTTCAGTACCCACATCAAAAGGAGTATTCTTCTTTTTTTCGAAATAAATCAAATCAGAATATAATAAACGCACTTATTCCAGACCTGTTATTTCATTATTTTATGCCCCAAAGAAACATGACTCACTTCATAATGATGAGGTGTTTAAAAACAAGCAAACATTATTCATTGCTTCAACCCACACAAAACAACTCACCCCTTCATATTCTTTCTTGAAATGTAATAATGAGTGCCTTAGAAAGATGGTATGTGAATTTCACAGCTTCGCCTGAAATTCAAAGAACATCATAATTCGCGTCCCGGGAGGGGAGGGGGGAGGGTTGCGTGAAGCGAACTGTGATTGCAGCCTTAGTGTTATATAAATTTATCCCTACACGCAGTGGTTCCTCGTCTGACGGCTGTGGTGGAAGGCGCGGTCGAGTTACCCTGCAACCTATCGGTGCCTGCGTCCAACCACGACCGGGACAACGTAACGCTAGTGCTCTGGTCCAAGTCTGGGGTTCACGGGCCCCTCTACAGCGTGGACGCCCGCAACTCGCCGCTGGAACGGGCCAAACATTTCCCCAGCCCAGACCTCGGCGGGCGGTACGACTTCAACACGAGCTCGCTACCGACGGCGCTGCTTCGCATAGATCCCGTGAGACCGGAAGATGCCGGCGAGTTCAAGTGTCGCGTCGACTTTCGGTGGGCGAGGACGCACACGTACGGCGTGGCCTTGGAAGTGATAGGTTCGTGTCGTTGTTAGTCTTATGACGAATTCCACCTACATATGCTACTTAGCACAATAAAAAAAGTGATTTTAGTTGCGACGAATGATCGGGTGTGGGTGCAATGACTGCTTATACTTCGTACGACTGTTTTACTCTGCTACGTGTGTGAGAAATATACTTTTCTGTAAAGCAGCCACGAAACACTTCGCGCGTGTAATATATATGTCCACGTTTTGCATTGAAAGTTGCTATACCGGGATTTTCAAGTGTGTCCACACATTCTACAAAATGCATTAAAAGAAAAAGGGAGATTGGGTCGTTAGTTTCATGATTACTATTTCTATGGCAGCAGGAATCTGTCATTGAGAAGACTTACTGCCAGATGGAATATGAAGATCGAAGATTTTTCTTTGGAGAATCCAATGAGCCTTTTAGACTTGCAAAAAAATGGCCTCTGGAATTTTTTTTTGCTTTCTAACATAAATATGCCATGTTCATGTGTCTGCATGCACGCGCACATTTCTCTGTAAACATTGTACTACTAGAGCACCAAAAAAAAAAACGCAAGAGAATAGCTTTTATTACGTTGGTTTCTGTCTGTTATTAATTAAACAGTTGAAGCTAACGTATGTTCGCGAAAACTGGAATGCTGTTGGCGCTTCCCTCCTCCTTCTGACCCTGCACAGTGCCGCCCAAGAAAGCCATCATCACCGACGAGTCTGGCAAGGTTCTACAAGACGTCATTGGGCCATACGACGAAGGGGCTCCTCTTAAGCTGGCCTGTGAGACGAGAGGAGGTTAGATCGAATTTCGTGTATAAGTTCAAATGATATTGAGTGAAAGCTTCTACAGAGGAAAAAAAAGAATGGAACCTCGTTGTTTCAAACTCACTGCATTGAGTCCAGGAAGCTTTCTTCCCATTAATGCTATTAACACTACTTTTGGCTCAGGGCAAGTGCTAGCTCACTGTGATACTTGTAGGAGCCAGAAGGTAGCACCTGTTTTAAGCAGTTACAGAAAACTTTATTACGGCTTCTTTGGGTTGTTTGTTATGAAGTAACCATAAATAGGGACTATTTGTCACTAGTTCAAAATCAGTACGTGATGTAAACATTGTAATAATTCAGCTAGCAAGTTCACCTTCAGGATTTTTCATTACCATTTTTTTTATATATCTTGCTAACGTCTTTTCTCAAACGTGAAGATTGGTTATAAATCAGTTTTCATACGGTTAACACTTCGAATAAGGTTTTGTAGGCTTTTCATGCTATCCAGCTAAAGCTAGACCATCAGTTTTTTATTCCAATATTTTGTACCATGAATAACCTTTCTTTTTTTGCTGTCAGCAATTATATGCAAGGACCTTGCAGCTATTCAATCACATTTTTTTTTCGATTTAGGATCTCCCTTACCTGCTGTCACCTGGTGGAGGGAAATGACCTTGCTCGATGATCAGTACCACAACACGAGCGAGAGCACCTCACGCAACGAGCTGCTAATCCCAAAACTGGAGCGCTCGGACGCGCGAAGCGTGCTAACGTGCCAGGCGTCGAACACCAACCTGACCCTGCCCGTCTACGCCTCCGTTACCATCGACATGAATCGTGAGACAATAGCCCTTTTTTATGGAAGCTCGTTTAGGAAATAAAATCCATAAACATCACGTATGATTATAAGTTCCCAAACCTTTTAGTTTACAATTGTCAAACGACTCCTCAAAAACGAACGTCCAAAAGATTTATCACTCGAGGCTGAGCAAGAGAATGGCTTTATAGACGTAGGTGTGAAATTGTTGACACCAGTGATTGGCTGACGTGTTGATCATTTATTAGGAACTTCAAGGTAAAGCGTACAGGCGAAAATGGACGTCCTTTAAACATCAGTAGAACGACAATGGACTGCGTGAATTTTTCGCTATGTGGACTTCTTATAGGATACATCAAGCAAACAGGAATTGTTGGGGTGCTCTCTGCATTTGCTGCAACCGTAATTGTTCACTGGTGTAATCAATATAAACAAAAGTGCAGTACAGTAATCCGCGTAGAGAATCAAACCTTGTTACTGGCTCTCGTAAAATGGAAAGTGCTTATTGAAAGCATATAGATTCTCCCTTCGAGTGAATTTGAAGTGCTGACGAGAGACGGTATGTTGTTTGTGCAGTTGTAAGAGTTATAACGGATACAATGTGCGTAGAACGCCTGTTCCTGACGAAGAACAAACTCGTGGGATCTTCTAAAGTTTTCATATCGCAATGACGGACATTTAGCGACATTCGTCATCATACTCGCGTTGTATACTGGAAACGTGCCAGCTTAAATCCCATTGTGCAACCTTGGCCCACCAGTTTTCGGCGTGTGGGTGATTCGACAATGAAGGGTGCAAAGAGTGCTTATAAATGGCGAAAGGTGATTTGAAGCTATTTTTGAATTCCCCAGAGACAGCGCGTGTAAAAAAAAAAAGAAAAAAAAGAAAAAAAAAAGAAAAAAAAACGAGTTGATATTACGCGTGCCAACCTTCTGATAACTTCAGTAAAGGTCATCGCATATTCCTTTTCAGATCTTACTCGCGAACGCATTAAGCCTGGAGCTTAGGAGGAGCGTAAGAAATGCGCTGGCAGCGGAACCGAAAGCAGAACCTCACTGCAGTAATTTCCGCCCTCCGCCTCCATAAATTAGGTTAGGCCGAGGCAAATCGTGTGCCAGGTCTTTGAGGTGCTCAACTTCTTACTTGTCTCGCCTCCCATCAAGTTCAGACGGCCGCCTTTTACCTATACAGTGCTGCGACAGGCACCTCAAAGGCAGCCTGATTGCATTTCAAGTCGAATGATCGAAGCGCCGTCTTCGCGAGCAGAAGCCGCTTAACTTTATTCGCGAGGAATAGAACTTCAACTCACTTTCAATCGATTCTTCCTGCTTTATGATTTTTAGTACTTATGCATTCTTTGCGTGAACGTTTATGAGATGTACCTATAGCGCTGGCTCTTTTCTTTGAATCACACAAAAAATTTTCTTTCTACAACCCCTCAGTACCATCTTTCCTCTGCTCGTCACATTAAGTGCAATCAAAGATAAAGCATTCACACAGTTTGTTTTTTTTTTGCGCAGTCGGTTTTTTGTAGAGCAATAAAGCTCACGCGATCACGTATAACGCGGGAAATAAATTGGCAGTCGGATCCAAATAGCACCGGCGCCAGGTTTCGTCCTGTAAGCGACTCAAATTACTCAATTTACATGTCAGTGACTCACTTCTAATGCAGTTCTCTGGGAAGAGATGGTGTAGAAGTGCGAACTGCTCAGAGTTGTGATTTTTTTTTCTTTACACGAAGGGTACAGTATATACTCCACTTCATGGCGGACGCCCGACTCGTACATGACCGGAGTATTTCTCTGCGTAATGTATAGGCTGCCTTCATGCTTGCACTGCGCCGCAATTCGTTCTTAGCAGCTTCACAATTTTTCCTTTTCAACCATGGTGCTATTATTTCTCATTTTTTCTTTCAAATGAATGCAAACACGATTTTTTTTTAGTCTAGCGAACTGCTGAAATATTTTTTTTTTCTTTAATGACGCCTACATTTGTCGCAGATAGGCTGTCGGTTAGCTTTCTAATGCCCAAAAAAGTCTTTAAGTGCAAGCCTGTACTCGAGTACTTCATCAATCGTAGCTAGTTTTTCTAGAAAGCTCTTTCCACGCTTTTCTAAACAAAGCTTCACCCATTTTATTGCGTGGAGGGTTTCTAGAGGGTTTCGATCGCTAACTTAAGACGCGAGTCCCGATAATACCACTGCCAGGCACTGTCTCCCATATTGAAGACCCCCTTCTCGTCTGTTTCTTTTATTAAGCAAAAGGAAGCGTCGTACAAATGACAGCAACAAGAAAAGAAAATGTATGTGAGGTAAACAGCACAGAGCATTGGCAAGCTGCTCCGTCAAAAAAAAAATCTCAAACTGTGCAAGCACGGTGTCGCACAACAGTGCATGATGATGTAAACATAAGTCTATTGTAATTGAATGTGATTTTGGCCTTTCAATACTTCATTCTCTCTGCTACGTACACCCAACAACAGTAAACGTTTACTAGACGTTGGTTCTATTCGCACTCTAAATTCAGATTTCTCACGCTTCTATATATCGCGTAATGCCGCTAACGCAGCTGGTAAGTGTAGCTAAAAGGGTGCAATAAATCTTGCTGCTGAGTGAGTTGGTTCACACTTGCAAGTAAAATATGGTTGCGCGCAACCCACACACGGATACAGAAAACACGGATGTGTGCTCTTCCGTGTGTATTCTGTCCCTGTGTAGCTTTTTATTATGCGTAACCCCCTTTTTTTTTCTTGAAAGGACACAATAGAAAAGACAGGCTTGAACATTCGTTTGGTTGTTATGGTCCCAGACAAGTATCTCTTTCTCGAACATTCCGTCTCTCAACAAATTTTTCTGTTGTGTGTACATTCCAAATCAACGTAAAAAAAAATTGCTTCATGTCGCACGTAATATGTGAATCTGTTCCGACTTACTGCTTTTTGCGTTTCTTTTCCTCTTTGTTATCTTGAATGATTCACGATCTGTGAGAATATTGAAGTGCTGTGTGTTACATCCTGCCTATGTTCTCTTGTTTGTACACGTCACTGAAGTGATTTTGTTACATTAGACAGTTGTGCTCACCTGAAATGTTGTTACCAGTCTGCAATCAGCTTCCCTGTCCTAACGAAACGCTAAGACAACCGTGACGCTCTGCGCAGTGCGTCCGCTGGACGTGAAGGTGACGAGCGCGCGTGACGTGCTCGTGGCCGGTCACCGGGCCGAGCTGCGCTGCCAGTCGCGCGGGGCGCAGCCGGCAGCGCGCATTACGTGGTGGAAGGGCGGTCAGCAGCTGGGCCGCACCGTCGAGAAGCTCGAAGGCAACGTCACCTCGAGCACGCTCATTTTCGTGCCCGGTCCCGAAGACCACGAGCGCCTGCTCACGTGCAAGGCCGACAACCCTCAGCTGCCGGACAGCGCCATCGAAGACGCCATCTTTCTGTCTGTCACGTGTAAGTACACAAAACACACCACTTTGTCGTTATCGGTGTGCTTGACCAACTACGCCGTGAGATTGTGGCTTGCGTAAGAATAGCGCAACAGTGGATAAAAAGAAAGGGGGACCGACGTAGCACTTGTTTGTCTCAACAGATTTTAAGCGCGAGCATTGTTCTCTGCTGGTAAAAATGCAGTTCGGAATATTTTACCGAGAGCTCTGTGCAGGTCGTCTGAAGTTCCGTTGTTGCGCTGGGCTCTTTCGCTATGTACCAGTCAATCAATACCAGCCAGCCATCCCAAAGGACTGGTCAAAGTTCCCAGGCCACTGTTCTATGTATTTTATAAGGCATCGTGGCTTGGGAAATTTTGACCCTTCCAGCCCATGTACCTATGTATAGTCGGATACAGCTTAACAAGTACGCGCCATTTCCTCGACAAAGGCGGATGCACGCAAGCCTGTACGAATATGCGCACACTCCATACCGACGTCAAGAACAGGAGGGCCAGTAGCCCCGCCTTTGGAAAACATTGTCGAGCGCATGTGTAAGGAGTACTTTTTTTTATTCACGGAGGCGATCAGCCGCTCTTCAATCATCTGAGGGTAGACGGGGGGGGGGGGGGGTTACCACAGTTCTTATGTTGTATTCGGCTAAATAGTTATCGACGCTGCTCACATATTCTCCCACTGACCCTCCGCACCCCCCGCACTCATCATACAATTTGAAGCATAAAATACATCTCTCTCACTCCTTGATCACGAAATATTGCGTACCACCAATAAATGCAAAGAAAATTATTTTAACATTTCTCAGATGTGAGAAATTTCCACTTGAGATTCTTGAAGCATAGGATCTCTACGATTCACCACTGCGCCATCCACGCGCGCACTTGATTAACAAGGAAGCGATTTTCAGCGTTCGCACGCACCGAAGCGCCACACACCGAGAAGCAACAACGAGAAGTTTATTGACTTCCAACCAAGGATAAAGTACATGACAAAAACATCGAGCTTCACGACTACAAAGGGTGCATGTACAATCAGGAAAGCACCACTACCAAGGTACAATGTATGTGGGGGAACGTACCCCTCTATTTACTGTACAGCGCGGGGTGCTCCAGCAGGCCCAATCATGCACGGTGGTAGGTCTTCTCAACACGCGGTTGGAACAAGTAGCGACTTAGCGCTGTACAACTCTAGGTATTATTTCTTTTTGTCGCCTGAAACAATGCTGCTTTCGTACACGGTAAGTGCATGCCCGGAAGTATAAAAGAGGCCTTGAGGCTGGGGGGGGGGGTGCAGGGGGGGTACAAGGGAGTGGGGGGGGGGTCTTGTCTCCCCCCAAATAAGGCATCAGCAACAATCTGCGCGTAAAAAAAAACTGATTGAAGGCGCCACTCAATGAAGAAGGCGCTATACAAAAATTAACTCAAATGTCGACCAGCACACTTTGCCCGAATCGATTACAAATAACAACGACAATGGAGATATACATATATATATATATATATATATATATATATATATATATATATATATATATATATATATATATATATATATATATATATATATATATATATATATATATATATATATATATACACGTCCCCTTATGCATGTGCTAGACAGCGGGAGGGGGGTCGCCAGGTAGTGATTGGGGCGGCTAGCTTGCCATTCCTCAGAAAAAAGAATTTGGTATGCCAGCGACGAAGGAAGTTTTCCTCGCCGCTGGCCTCGAGTTCGCCGGACAGGTGGGCCCATAGCAACCGCCGGATACGCGAGACTACCGGAAACGCGCTGTGCATGATCGAGACCCTTTAATGAAGCAGTGCGTACACACGAATGCGCAGAGAGTCGCCCGACTGCAGTACGCCCCTCATACAAGAACACGTTTCGGCAGTAATAGTACGGTGCGTAGCTACACTCATTTAAAGAAAATCACATTAACGCCAACGTTCATTGTGCGTTGGCTTTGCCGAAATTCTTTACTCTTATGTAACACACGTGTTCTGTCGTTCTCTTGTTCCGAATGGACCGAAGCGTTGTCTGAAGCTGACACCTGACGAACACGAGACAGGATAGGAAGTTTGAAGAGCCTAGATTGATGAAGTTCTTAACGGCCACGGGCTACGCACACGCTTTAGATTGCATAAGCCGGCTTGAGTTGAATAAATCGATGTGATATTTAATCGGATAAATTATTCTCACTTTGTAGGTACTTGTGCCTGAGACAGGCCAATTTTATGCATAAATTACCAAAAAAAAAGACAACAAAGCCTTGCACATTTAAATTTTTGTACCTTCTTTGAGTCGTCATTCATATTTAGGTAATATATCATAAAGGGTGCTTACCAGCGCAAACAACAGGGCAGGAGGGAACAGGAGAAGAGACGAGACAGCGCTCTGTCTCGTCTCTTCTCCTGTCCTCTCCTGCCCTGTCGTTTGCGCTGGTAAGCAAACTTTATGATGTTATACCAACACGCCCAATCCCACTCTCTCTTTAAGTAATATAAAATTCCAAGTTGTTCCGAGCTGTTTTTTCATACTTCGGAGTTCGGAAAAGTCCCTGGTGCAACGCCAAATGTTAACAGAGATATGCAGATCAGTTTCAAGAGCTGTTTTTAGCTGACGTCGAAAATCGCCTCATCTATTCAAGAGACGTTTTTGTTACGGCATGTAGTAGGCTCCCCACTTATTTTCACCCTCGATTTCCTCTTTTACGCACTCTCCCCTTACATAGCCAAATATTGATGATTCAGGCCACCAGATGCCCCTGAGGAGCACCCGCATATCGGTGTCAGGGTGAAAGCTGGCGCGAATGAAATCTCGACAACCTCTTTCGGTGGACGACGAAGGTCGCAGCTGTCGTTATGCGTTTAGGGGCGCCCTAGGCAACCGCCATTGACGGGACGCTTCTCCCTCCGGGCGACGTTCGATCGGAGACCTCGTTAATTGATTTACTTGACATTTCGCTTCCCCCTTCGTCTGATTATCTCTTTGTTTCTTGTCGCATCCGTTTAGCGTGAAATGATTTGGTTGAAGCCAGTGCCAAAGTTCGGCACTGGCTTCTGCGGCCGGTTGCTTTACTTCAAATCTCAGAGAGATCGAATCAGGCTATGCCCAGAGAACGAGTGGCGGGAATCTGAGTACAACAACCCGCTTGAGAAAAAAAGAAAAGCAACAATAAAGAATGTGGCTTTCTTAATTTTTTCCTCGTGCTTTTTGTCTGGGACAAACAGTGAATGTTTTTTACAATTATTTGCCACGAAACGTTTTCTTGCTTGAATGGCCAAAAGGTTTAGGAGTTCCGTGTTGTGTATTTCGTGTGCTGCAGCGTCAACTGATAGGTTGCCACGTAGGAAAGATATGGGAATATAAATTTAATAGTTTTTCAAAACAAAACATGAACGATTCAATCTAATACATAAATTATTGCACAGATTCAGATGAAACAAAAACTGGACCTGGTCAGGTATGAAATGAATGAATGACAACTTTACTTGTTCCTAGCACTTCACCACCTTGGACACGTGACTGGGATTCGATCACGCAACCTTTGTGTCAAGAGAAGGAGGCAATAGGGCATAGGGTGGTGGGGAGGAACTACTTGAAGTAGCCCTCCTCTAGCCTATAAGCCACTCTGGGATGACCTCCTGAATGTCGGACCTCGAGATACGCAAGGCAGCCTCCCACTGCTGCTGACTAGAAATTAGGCGTTTCAAAATAGGGGGAAGAGTGCACTTAAGGCAGCGCCACATGATGTGGTTTAAGTCAGCAGTGGAGGAGGCACATAATATACAAGAGGGAGAAGAGTAACAGGACGGATGAATGCGATGTATGAGGTAAGGGGAAGGAAAGGTGCGAGAGTGCAGCTGTCACCGTAGCATTCTACATCTGCACGGGAGTTTGACACGAGTGATGAGAAGGTTAAGCTTTCAAACCGGTAGTATGTGAAAATTTCATGGAAATAAATAAGGTGATCCCTCGCTGTAAACGGTGCCTCCTTCGTGGTGAGTTGGGACACATCAGGTGCTCGTGCCCGGTCTGTAAATCATCGGGCCCTGGCATCGAATACGGGCCTCAGCGGAAATGAGGCGGCTGGGAAGACAACTTCATCAGAATTAGAGATAACTGATGGCCAGTTAGAATATTGGAAGAGACAGCAAGTGATGGAAGCACGGCAGACGACTGTACAAAGTGAAGCGACTAATTGACGAAATTTAGGGGCATGAGCACACGTAGAAACGGTTGGGCTAAAGATCGTTGCCGGAGGTCTTAGTCCCAATGCTAGGCTGGTGATTGTTATGCGTGCACTCTACGCTACACTCTTGGGACTTGCTTAGCAAGACAAGCAAACATTGAGTAGTTGAGGTAATTGTTGCCCCAGCAGTTACGCAGCAACCCATGCGCAGTAGAACAGAGCAAGCAGAGAGAATGAAAAAAGAAGTTAGGATGGTTAAACGGGTGTCACCTGGTTGTTTACCCTGCTCGATTGTTGGTGGCAAGGAAGAAAGATAGTAACGGTAATGTTTGGCATGACGAGCGAAAACTACGTGATGATAACGAGGCACGCCGCAATGGAGACCTCCGGAAATTTCAACCATCTGGTGTTCTTTAACGCGGGCTGAATCGCACTGCACAAGGATCTTAAGCATTTCGTACCGAGCTCAGTGCTACCAGGATTGAACTCGTGAAGTTCGAGTAAGCAATCGAGCGTCGTAATGGCTGTGAGCGAGGGAGAGCAAACATAAAAAGAAAAAAAAAACAGGGAGGTTATCAAGAGAGCATTTGCAGTTGGTTAGCCCGTACTTTGGAAGCGGAAAGAAATCATCATCATCATCATCCCGTCGTCATAATCTTTTGCGTCAAGCTCTGTAAGATCGTGAAAGTACACAATTCGAGCAGACCCACATCAATTAGCTAGTAGGAAATCTAAATAAATGTACATTCAAACATAGTATTGCCCAGCCATTAACGAATGAAAGAACAGGGAAGAGGGGAGAACCTCAAAGGAGGAGAAAAAAAAAGAATGGAGGGAAAGGAATGAGTGGTGTAAGCGCGCATAAAAAAGTGTTCCCTGACTTGATCAAAGGTGAGGGAAGAGCAGTTTTCTGTCGGCTTTTCGTGCGAACGTATTATGGACCCTAAACGCTTCATTTAACACTTTTTTTTCGCCATTTTTGTTTTCATTGTAACAGACGCGCCGCAGGTCTCGCTGAGCGTAACGTCAACGCACGCGAGTGGCGCCATCCTCGAGGGTTCGGACGTGCTGCTCGAGTGCGCGGTGCGCGCCAACCCGTCGGTGCGTGAGGTCTGGTGGAAGCACAACGGCCGCCTGCTGGACCGGAGCCGAGACGCCGGCCTCGACCTGGTGTTCGGCAACCAGTCGCTGCGGCTCCTGCGCATCCGTCGAACCAGCGCTGGCACCTACCAGTGCCTCGCCAGTAACACGCAGGGCCAAGGCGAGAGCAATCAGCTGCAGCTACAGATCAAGTGTGAGTGTCGTCATTTCGCTTTGTTTGGTACATGAATGGGTGTTTGGGCACTACGCAAAGCTCAAGGAAATATTCTCTTTCGCATAACATTTGAATGAATGAAAGTGATTTTCTGTGTGTGTTTGTGGACGAAGGAGAGGGGAGGCATACTATTAACAATGAAACTGCCTAATGTAGACATTAATTTCTGTGGAGCGTAAAGCCCGTTTCACATGCGAGCGATTTCGCCCCAAGAGTGGAGCGGCAGCTATCGCGCGAACCCAAAGCCGATTTCTAGAGTATCTAGTAGACGCTGCGATGAGCATCGCCAGAGTTCGAAAGATCGGCTCGTGGCTAAGCGTCTGAAGAAAGGAGGAGCAGTGACGTAGGTGGCACTTGACATTCTTTGAAACATTTCCGCGCGCACAGAATAGACGAAAAAAATGAGAAGCGAGAAGACAAACAGGCGCGAACTCCCAACGAAGTTTATTAAAGAAAAACACCTAATATATATCTCATGGTTGCTCAATAGCGCATGTGCGTAAAAAGAAACAAGCAAGAGAAGAAAACGAAAGAAAAACAAATGATAGCACACCATGACAGTAATCTCTTTCGTAAGTTCACAACGTGCAGCAGAATGTGAAAGTCAAGTATGGCTCAAGAAAGGGAACTCCTTGTCAGTTAGAACAATCGATAGGCTGCTTATACAATTATCAGTACACCTTCTCATACGAAAGGCTTTTGCTATTTCCCGAATTAGCTTGTCTTCGTGATAAAACCAAATGTTTGCCGATAGTTATAGCGCGAGAACAAAACGACGACACAGAGACAAGAAGGTCCTTCTTGTCTCTGTGTCGTCGTTTTGTTCTCGCGCTATAACTATCGTCATGCCATACCAACTAGCCCAAGCTGCCACACTTTCAAATGTTTGCGTTACACAAAACAGCATAACATTGGCAGATGCTGCAATGCTCGGCTAGGTGGGTGTGATTGCTATTTTCCGAAGATTTCATATGTTCATTAGGGCGATTGTTAAGGCACTGGCCAGTCTGACCAATATATGTACGACCGCAGGTTAAGGACAATAAATAAAGTACAGCCATCCTACACATCACAAACGTTTCACTTTCTTTTGTAAGGAACACACATTTCTTCTGTTGATTTTGTCAAACTTTTGGTCCACGTGACGGCAGGGGCGAAGTCGAGGAGCAAGCATGCGCGTCGACAGGAACTCAGTCCACTTCTGCAGTACGCGATAAACACTGCCCATCATAGCGGCGGGCATCCTGCAAAATTGGCGCATGTGAAACAGACTCGCGTCCACGCGTCCTGCTGCCGCCCATTACAGCCATAGTACTTGCCCTCCAGCATAAACGACATTTCTCAATGCCCAGTCGCTCCTGTGTGTCGCGAAGGACAGAAACTGGTGTACGGCGTCGCCAAGAACGAGGCTGCTCAGATGTCGTGCGAACTGGAGGCCGATCCCCCGGACGTGTCATTCCAGTGGCGTTTCAACAGCACCTTCGAGGGAGAGCGGCACCTGTCCGCTATGCCGGTCGATAAAGGCCTCCGCAGCGTGGCCACTCACGTTCCTCGCAGCCGAACCGACTACGGCATGCTCTATTGCTGGGGAAAGAACAGCGTCGGCACGCAGGTCAAGCCATGTGTGTTTACCATCGTCGCCGCCGGTGAGTGATTTGTCGTGTCAGAAAAGCCACGTTTCTCGCGTATTTTTAAATCCTCTCTGCACCTCACCTGTCCTGCAAAGCCTCCAAGATCGCAGGCATTGCAGCCATTCAGAACCTCCCCTAGGCTTGCACTGCCTCCTTAATCGGCTCGCTGACCCGCAGGGCGCGGGTTCGAATCCCGGCTGCGGCGGCTGCATTTCCGATGGAGGCGGAAATGTTGTAGGCCCGTGTGCTCAGATTTGGGTGCACGTTAAAGAACCCCAGGTGGTCTAAATTTCCGGAGCCCTCCACTACGGCGTCTCTCATAATCATAGAGTGGTTTTGGGACGTTAAACCCCACATATCAATCAATCAATCAATCAGTAATCGGCTCGCCTTTAAACAATCGACTACGCTATGTGGTGACGTCCTGATGTGAGGTCATGATATGTGACGCATGATGATGCCAGAAATTTCAGTGATCTGTGACGTCACATGCGAGCGTCACCAGGCGATGACGACTTCTTTGGATCACTCGTGTTGACGCCTCTGACACCAACTCAATTTTCACGTTTCATGAAGCATCTAGAGCAGTCGACATAAAATAGTGACTGAATCGCGAGTAGGTTTACAGAGAGCATAATATCCAATCGTGATACTGTAAAGCGTATGTTTTCTTTTTGCGAAGGAAAAATATATCATGCATGTCTTTTGACTTAGTTTTAGATACTTAAAACTTATATTCTCTTAGTTCGCTGCTAGATTACCCTCAGGGCCCAGCGTTTACCATGGGGAAGTGGCTTCAGTCAATATTAAGTTGGCGATCCAAGAAGTTTGCTTTCTCTATGCTTACAAATACATATTGGTACAACGACAGTAAAATAGACCAGTTTAAATTGACTCTTTTGGTAATTAAGGCAAGTCTAGCCAATGTTTTTGTTTTTTCAAGTTTGTCTGAACGTAAGCAGAATGAAGAGCAAAAACAATTGAGTAAAAAAAGTCGCTGCATATCCACGAAGTGAATGATCATGACTGGGCCGAAGCGTCCATCCATCCATTCGTCCGGGTGTCGTTTCGTCTGTGCATGCATCCATGCGTCCAATCGCGTTCAAGAATGCAGGTGGCGCACAGGTAACACCGACGAGACGTGAGCCTAGGAAGCCAAGTGCAAGCGTCTTCAACGCGGTTGCCACTCTGCTCCATCCATGGCCCACGAACGATCCGACACGTACGGCTGAGAGAGGCACTCGTTGGACGCGATCGGAGAGTAGCGCATGCCGCAGCCAATCGGAGAGTAGCGCTAGAGTGACGTCATCTAAGAAATTAGACGATAAATGGTCATCCATTTCTTTTGCCTTCTTTTCTTTCTCGTCTCTTCTTTCTCGGTTACGCATTACTAGTCACAAGATCTGACTATAAGGAGCTTCACCCCTAAAAAGGATTAAAAGGTGCTTGTCTAGAGAAACACAGTCACCCTTACAGGTTTGTGAAGCGTTTTTTTTTAATTCAATAACACCATCATAAAGGTGAAATATTTACGGACTGCAAAAGGCGGCCACTCTTCAGGAAAATTTATGAAATTGGGAGCATGTAGAACCGTAATACAAAACTACGGAAACGTTATGCCAATGCTCTCAGTATACGTCCGTTTAACATCAATAGTGAGATAACCACTTAACGTGCTACACGCGGTGTGGAGGAGTTCATTCGCACTTAGCGAGCTCTCATTAACAATACAAGCAGTGAGTGTAATTGGTATCAAAATTGAAATTTCCGTATTGAATTTCTTTTGCGACACTAATCTAAACAAGATAAGATGATTTTGGAAGCGCGTGGATGGTGTTGTGCAGAAAAGATGCATCGGAAGAACTCGAAGTGGTGGCTTTCTTTCTTTCTTTCTTTCTTCTTTCTTTCTTTCTTTCTTTCTTTCTTTCTTTCTTTCTTTCTTTCTTTCTTTCTTTCTTTCTTTCTTTTTTTCTTCCTTTCTTTCTTTTTTTCTTTTCTTCTTTTGTTTCTTTTTCTTCTTTCTACCTTTCTCTTCTTTCTTTCTTCCTTTCTTTTCTTTCTTTCTTTCTTTCGTTTTTTCGTTCTTTCTTCCGGATGCGAATAATCATTACTCTCCGTTACGCACCAGCTTCACACATCCCCTTCACACATCTACCTTCACACATCCTTTCTGTTATTTCTTCGTTCTTCTTTCTTTTGTCTGTCTCAGCTAGATGCAAGACGGCTCCTGCCCTGGATCACTTTTAGCAGTCAAAATTCGGAACTCATAAAACGAAGAGTGATTCGACAGCTAGACTATCGTCGACATGAAAAAATTCAAGAACTGTTCCAAACTTCTTGCATTGGGCGGAAAGACAAGATTCTTTTTGTTGTTCTTTTTCGCGTTTCTTTTCTATTCCACAGCCTCTCGCACAAATTGAATCTGTGAACTGGCGCCATTTAGACTTTTGTGAAAGGGATTCGCTGTTATCTCGTGACCCAGTGCCACACATTCAGAGAAAGCACTTCCGGATGGTGTATTTTATGTAATCTCCGGCGAGGTTTGAGTTTATTACGAGAAATACATCAATTTAATGCACGCAAAGCACTCGTCAGAAGAAAGCAATAAAAATAAGATATGATCAATAATGACTGACTTGAATATAGCCTTATAGCCTGAGGTATTTACCATACTTAAGGGAAACGGGCTTGGTATATCTACGAAACCTTATTCTGACGTACGCATCTCTGTTTTATTTTCTACGATATGATCAATGTTGTGAAAAACATGTCCACCTTAGTAAGCTCTTCCCGTTCGAGCTTTTGTGGTTTTAAAGTACGCATTGACTGTAATTTTACCGAAACGCTGCAGGTCCCTTCGGCCGTGCGTGGGATTAACGATGGTCTTTTCAAGAGCGAAAGCCATATTGCGCTAGTTTTCCAAGATCATTCATCGCATTGTAATGACTTTGAGCCACCGGTGTGCAAGTGTGGCGTGCGTGACGTCACGCCACGTGATTAGCTACAGGGAATTGTCGCAGCTGCGTTCGTTTGTAGCTTCGCTGTTGTACTTCCACGCAACCAGACGTAATTAAATGCTATGTACGTTAACCTTGCATAAGCAAGTCTAACATACTTTTCGCTTTTGTTAGCTAGGTTTAAAAAATTATAACTCATCTAATTTTTGAAGGGACACAAAAGAGCAAAATGATTTTTCGCAATATCGAAGACTGCTCTTACCACGACACGACACTTGGTATATAAGCGAGAGAACGAGCCAGAAAAAAGTGCGTGTCAAGACGCCACCTTGATATTCGCGTACAAAACACAATGACGTGATAGATTTTGAAGGCACCTACCGGGTACTACGTAGCTATAATCGGTAAAAGAGAATTACATTCTCATCTGTGGCTGTATACACCTAGCATACGAAGTTTGAGAAAATATCGTCGAGCCAGTGTCATGAAAATACCAAGAATAGGCTTCGAAAGTTCTTACGTCACGTGCCGGGATTTCGGTGTGAAATTTAAGAATGAACTTCAACGTAGATTTTATCCGCTAATAATGAACCTATGCTAATTAAACATACGGCATTAGAGTTCCCAGCGTAGCCGTTGGCCAATCGAAACAGAGTAATTGTTTCTTTTTAGTGCTTCTTTAAGAAGAAAAAAAAAGACTTCCACAAGTTAATGTAGACAAATAATGGTGTCGCATACCGCCCAAGGCTGACATATTGCAGCATTGTGCGCTTGTTTCCCCCTCCCTTGTCCCCACACTCGATCTTTCTTGCAAACATCTTCAGTCTTTTTTACATTATGAGTTGACATAAAGTTATTCTAATATAGATCAATATCTCTGCCTTTCCTTCTGTCTTCTTTCTTGCTTCCCTTTCCAATGATATGAAATTTGTTCGGTGCCACGCAAAATGATTCCGTTCTATGCCTGTGCATTTTAAAAATTATCGACAGAACCTGCTCCGAACTGCCACACCCAATTTCCCAGCCTCCGTACTATGTGTCCTGTTCCTTATTGCTATGCCCGTTAATTTTCGTTCACTAGAATGCCGGGTTTTATAAGTATATTATTTTGACGAGTACCTTATAGAGATATGCAGTGAGAAGATTCAGAGAAAAGTGGATCAGACGACGCCTTGAAGCTATATTTTATGGAGCTACATTAGCCTTGCGACGTCACAGTTTATCTAAAGCCGTGACACCAGGTGCTTTACGTGACTGGTCTCTGTCAAACGAATGAGCTGTTTATTATACCCTGCACTGTGCTTGTCCGTCACATGCAGCTGCTGGAAATTCCTCAGATATTCTGGAATTTACGTGACCTCTCCTTGTCTCTTAGCTTGTGGGATATGCAAACATAAGACAATTTACCTTTAACGTGAGAGCGGAGGTTAAGGAAAGGGCGTTAACGTACAGGTATACGTTCGTTGCGGACAGCGTCTTATAGTTTAGCGGAATAGCGTTTACGTGCTTTACGTGCCCCAGCTGGTACAGCGGCGCTACCTATCCAATGATCAATAAGTTAAAGAACCGTGAAAAGGAAAAGAAAAAGAGAATGTTTGTGTCACCACGCGAAGCATTGTTACAAGTTTATTTCTGTAATAATAAAAGTAAATAATGATGTACCACGCACCAAACGTGAAAACATTAATGTTGCCGATTTGTTTACATCGATCTTCTAGTTATGCTTAGAGACGTTCGAAATGAAAACTATGTGAAAAATTACGCCAGCTTATCCAGAATACTCAGTCATCAAAGCTAACTGAAGGCAAGTGAAGCCATCTCAAACAGTATTTTGCTGCGATAGAAGTGAACCGTTCAACTACGCTAAAATCACGTCGAAGCGGGCGTCCGAGAGTGCCGCCATGTTTTACGTGCACTTCGTACACCTACGCTAACACGGTAACGTTGAGTCTGAAAAATAGCGTGCGTATGGTTAGCGGTACAGGTAACGTACGTATCTGAGCATGCACACTTCAGTCCCGCTATCACAGTGCACCCAGTATCTCGGTAAGACCGGTATACTATGACTGTCTATCCCGTATAACTGTCTATTCGGTAAGCCCCGTATTTATGACTGTTCACATCACCTACGTAGTCAGGGGTGTGGTTCATAGGCTTCGAATCCACCTTGAAATTATTGCACTTTATACGTTTATAGACAGTCAAACACGTGCAAATATTCGATCAACGTTTCTTGCGCAAACTTACAAAAGGAACGGAAGACACTGAGGAAAGACGTATGAGACACATCCTTTCCCCTGTGTGCAGTCTTAATTTCTTTCTTTTAAATGATCTGCAATTCAGTTTGCCTGCGAATTTTATCATAATATTCACAGAACCTGTACTTTTCTTCCGTTTTTTTTTTCTCGTTTTGAGCTTTGAGTCCTTTCCTAAGCTTGCGCAAAAAAAATGCTGATTCTGCCTAATCAGCTAGCCTGTAGCTAAGATTTTTTCTTATTTTTATTTACAGGACCTCCGGAACCACTGAGTAATTGCAACGTGGTCAACGCCACTGCTGATTCGCTCAAAATAGAATGCGACTCCGGATACGACGGCGGGCTGGAGCAAACATTTCATCTAGAGGTGAGCTTAGTGTAAAAATAAATGTGGGAGGAGCATCAGCATTAGCGTTGCACGTAACATGCAATACCTCGGAACTCGCTGTAGGTGTCACAGTGTGAACAGACTGTCCACCAAGCTTCCTAATAAGTGCTCTCTCTCTCTCTCTCTTTCTCTCTCTCTCTCTCTCTCACACACACACACACACACACACACACACACACACACACACATATATATATATATATATATATATATATATATATATATATATATATATATATATATATATATATATATATATATATATATATATATATATGCGCTCGTCCTTCGCGTGCTTAAATAGAAGATATGAGACACTCGCGCCTTACTTCTATGCTCCAACCTTCCACACACTGATATTAAATGACATCTCAAACTTGGCCTCAATCATCTGCCGGTATGCCATCTCCAAGCGACAAGGTTTTCATAAAGGAGCATAGTACCCTTGATTAAGTGTAGCTCAACTTATGAATTTTACAACACCCTTTATTACTTGTAATAATGCTGCATCTCCTCCCCCATTTTAAGGTAGTATAAGGTACGGTGGAGCCATTTCCTTGGCAATTTAATGCAAGACAAAATCGTTGCCGTCCATGATTTTCAAGTAACATAAGAAAGAAAAAGAAAGCAACTCGTTTCAAAACTCAACAAAGGCTGCCATAGTTGATAGATCGTCTTGGTAAATTGTGAAGAACCTATTTTTGTCGGCAGCCGATTGAATTTGGCGACTCAAGTTGAGCAAAAACTTAGTGGTCATTCTTATTTACACACTGTAATAACCATCGAACTAGTGAACTTGTCAGTAACTAGAAAAGAACGCGTTAGGCAGTAAGATTGCAGAATTCGCTTGACCATGTGTATTTCAAAGGAAAGTAGCTTTTACGTGAACTGATATCAAGGAGAAAAAAAAAGTCACAGCATATCCACGGAGCGAATGATGATCAGTGGAGCAAAGGGTCCGTCTGTCTGTCCATTCGTGTGTCCATCCGTCCGTGCATGCTTCCTTGCGTCCGATCGCGTTTGGGAATGGAGACGACGTGAGGGTGACACCGACGGGACGCGAGCCAAGGAAGCCGAGCGGAAGCATCCTCAACGCACTCGCCGCTCTGCTTCGTCCATGCCCCACCAATGATCCGCCACGTACGGCGATTATCCAGGAGGCTGAGAAAGGCACTCCTTCTCCACATACCCAAGCACAGCCCCGCGCAGCAGGCAATCGAAAAGTAGCAGTACAGTGCCATCTATAATTACAAAATATTCTAACTCATCTGCAGTTTGCATGCACTTCTGTAAGAAAGCACCGTCCATAATACTGTTCGAGAGATACTACCTTTTTTCTTTCTCGTCTCTTCTCTCAGTTACGCGTGACGCATGTCAAGGTTAGATTAAGAGGAACTTCGCCCCTGAAATGAGTTGTACATGTTTACTTCAATTTTTTTGGATCTTATCATCACGGCTACAGCTACCTACTTGTTTTCTTCCATCCCAAGGCTTTGCTTTCACATATCACTTTTTAAATATATTAAACCTAGTTAGTTAAGCTAAAATATTAGCTGGCAACAATAGTGAGCGCTAGTTTCCTAGCTCTCAGCTACTGCTTAGAAAACAGGGTCTGAATTCACGCGTTTTTCTTTTTTTTTTTTCAGAAAGTGATGTTTTGTATGGACAAGTCGTATTTACTAATACTTCTCCCGGCGTCAATGGCGGTACCTTTGCATGTTTGTTTTCGTTACTACGAGGCGTTCCGCTTCTACGGAGCTATTTTTGACAGTCAAACGCTCATTGACGTGTCTCTCAAACCACATGGAAGGAACATATACGTGTTGTTTCACACACTCGCCACGAAAGACGGGCTTTGCGTTGTGTCAGGTGAATTGATCTAATCGGTATAAACATGATGCTACGGTCACCCTTCGCCTTTTCAGGTTATAGACTCGGTGCGCAGTGAGACACTCGCCACGCGGGAGCAGAAGGAGAGACCGCTGTTTTTGGTGCAACCGCTGCCCCCGGGAACGGAGTTCATAGTGCGCGCCTTCGCTCAGAACGCCAAAGGACGGAGCGACAGCGACATCTTCACAGCGAGCACTGAAGAGGCACGTGATGACGGAGATGGTGAGTGCAGGCTTTATTTTTTTTTAATACGAAGCAGCTTATGGCGGAGTTCAATCCAGTAGGCAAATGATCATTCTGCGCTATGTATGCCATGGCGAGAATAATTTGAAAGTGGCAGTTCACGGGCCTGCTGTGCCAACCCCCAGCTATGCCTCTTGCCCAAGCTCTTAGATAAAGCTCGGGTTATGTACGCAGCTGTGGAGTTGTGCGGCACATTTTGTAAGGGAACCACTGCGAGGCGAAATTTGGAGCATTTTGTGATCTGCCGAAACTTTCACAATGCTGGCTTGACAAGGCGCGCTTCAGTATACATTGGAGGTCCGAACACGTCAGGCCTTAACCACGATAGGACTAGAGACAACACAGCAGGATGTGCTATATAACATTCGATCAACGCTTACTCACTCTTCAAGATGAGATTGATGTATGTGCGGAGAAAACAATATGACCTGGTATGAGCATTGCATGCAAGCACTTGAAGCATGAGTGCACACAACGCGCACATCAGCAATGAAATATAATAAAAAACGACTGAAAACCATCGCTTATTCACCACCGAGTCAATCGGGTCAGCTGTCGCTGGCAAGTTGATATAGCTTCGTTGGAACGCACCATCTACCCCAAATCTACGTCGTCAAAACAAAACAAAAATAAAGAACACTTGCAGCTCATTGAGTGAACTATCATATCGGGACTGTACATGACACGACCTGCGACAGTGCAACTTGCCTGAGGGCGATGGCCACCTCGAGCGTTTCTTTAACAGATACCGCCACAAAACTGGCAATTTTGCGTAAAAGGCGATCACTCGAGCTGGATAGAAAAAAAGTCAAACACCTTGGACGGTGTTTTAAGTATACAGCACTTTCAACATACGCGGTTACGAAAAACTCATTTCACATCTAGGAGATCAGCAAGACGTCTATGCAAGTTTTGTGATTGCGTTCTGCCAGAGCCTTTCCTTCGGTCGTAAAAAGCATTGGCAACGAGTTAGGAAAGCTTACGTGCCTCCGAAAGAGTGAGCCTCGATATTGCTTCACAATGTTTGTCAAAAAAAAAAAGATGTGATACGACAGGTGTGCCATAATATTATACATCTTAGCTCTTCGGCTGATTATACTTTAAGATGACTCAAAGGAACAGTTTAGTGCCGAAAATAAAACACGAGTCCAATCTGATGAAAGCTGACGATACTTGTGTATAAAAAAATTTGTAATTGAACTTCTGTTTTATAGATGCATCCCACTGTACTCATAGTACAAGCATGTCTAGACGTGCGACGGCTAACGTGGCACCGTTGTTTCACAGGAGTTTCATATATATTCTAAACAATCAGAAGGCATACTATGAAAGCAAACAAACTGCACTTGACTTGAGATAGTCAAACAAATTTACTAAACGTATTGTTAATGAACCACAACTGGGTAGGAAGTGCGTGTTAAAGGGCAAATCAGTGCTCAATAAATGATCTTTTTGAACATGGGTAACGAAAATCAGTTCAGGCACATCTCCTGATTGTGTACGTGTAATCTAAACGGTATGAAAGCAAAATGAAATTATTTATGGACCAGGCCTCGTAATTTTGACTACACCTCCAGATGATAACGGATTATTGGCACCGTGTCGTTAAAAAAACTCAGGATCATACGCCAAATCACCCGTGCGAGTATTTATTTGTTGTTTTTTTTTTGCATTCATTAGCAGAACCCCTTTTTGACCATTAAATAGGAAGAAAGAGAGGCAGACAACTTTGTTTTCGTTCTCAGAGGCACGGCAGCAGGTAGATTAGGTTGGTCCCCAGCCAACTGTTGGCTAGTCTCATTTCGGAACAGAGAGGCCGTGCCTCTCCGCACGTTCATGGGCCTTCTGGACAACCTGAAGCTGGGCGTCTTATCTGGGGTTTGTGATTGGCGCCCTGTTCTATTTTAAAGTCCGGAAACTCAGGGCACGGTCGCAGCATGTGACTCAGAGAACAATATTCACCATGATCTGGGTAAAGCAAATCAACTTCCACATAAAACATGCTCAGAAAGTCCATAGGAGGGTAAGACCACGTCTGGCGCTTGCGGAGTGTGCTTGATTTATAAAGAACGAAATGTATATTTATTTGGTTCAGTGGTTTGGGAACAGGTCTTGGCTTAAATTAAATAGGAGAAAAACAGTTCACACATGCATGATACTTCCACGACAGCTCTTTTCACTCATAAAGTTGTTTAAGTTTTGCTCACAACCATTTAATTAGCGATAACTTTTTCTAATAAGCGAATAACAACAAAAAGCTTAGAATTGAACAAATGAATAAAAAAGGAATTAGGATTCTCGCATTTCTGGCAACACCAAGCAAGGGGCTTCCGCAGAGAGTTTCATTATCGTAGGGAGAGCTTGCTTACAACGACTACGTCCACCAAAATTAATGAGCCAACTTTTTTTTGCGTAAGAACACGTGCGGAGGACGCTTCTGTTTAGGCATTAGTCTTTTTGGCTGTTTAATGCGCGCAAGTACGGATACGCGCATGCTTTATATAGTAGTTTCAGAAATTTACCAGATAAATACGGTACCTTTCGTGTTATGGTCCTTGGTTTGAGTGGAAGTGGTGCTTCGGAAAAGGCGAAAGTCGCTGCGAGGTGGACGAAAAAGCGCTAATTAATCATAAGCCACTCTACTGAGCTTTCCGTTTCGTTGATGTCGCTGTGAAGATTTTAGACGCCGGCCAGGAAGTCGTAAAGTTTAACGGGTTGCCACAAAATGACCCTAATTCTCGAAGCCCTATATATTAGACGGTCCAGTAAGAAACGAAATATGAAAAAAGGAACGAAGTTTAATAAAAACTAATGATAAAAATATAGCGCATCAAGAAAGACGTTGGCGAAAATGGTACGAAACCGAGGACATAAACGATTACGTTGCGACTCAAATTTCTGCTTATCTTCTGCTGTTCTTTAACGTTCGGTCAAGTTCACGTGGTGACTTGTGTGCACCACATTACTGAGCCCGCTATTGGCCTATTGCGAGCAGCGCCACAAATCACGGGTGTGCATGAGGATCCACGAGCAATGACTCGCGGCTCTTAACACCCGTGATGACGAATTTTCAGGCAGTGACGTCAACGCGTGGACATGTAAGCTTGATGACGTCAGAATATGAACTGTGATGAGCGGCCTCATGAGGGTGTATATATTTATGTCCAGTGGCTATAACAGGCAATAAAAATGGCAGCATATTCACGCAGTGAATGATGGAGAGTGGGGCGAAGCATCCGTCCGTTCATTCGTTCTTGCTTCCGTCCGTCCATGAGTGCGTCTGTGTAGCCGCCCGTGCGTCCATCCGCCCATCCGTGCGTGAGTGTGTTCGTGCGTCCGCACGTCCATCTGTGCGTCCGTCGCTGCGTTCGTCCGTGCATCCGCTCCTGCGTCCGTCCATGCGTCCATCCTCCGTGCAGTCATCCGTGCGTCCGTCCATGCATCTGTCTGTGTGTTCGTTAATCCACCTATTCAACACTCCAAGTATACCACCATCTCGCACCTTTCATCATATATTCCTTATATAGAAGCACCGCCGTCCAGTGGACATTCCAAAGACTGAACGAGAGGTGGCACACGCACACTTTCTTACGGCTTGCGCTTCGTGTCTACTTCCCACCTTTAAACACCTCGACTTCATGGTATATACTAATTCACTGTATTCATAACACTGCGGCCCAACGCTCGCTAAACCTTTTTAAAACCTAGGAGGTTACGCCCAGCGAGTATAACGTAGCAACCTTTTCTTGTCAGATAGTGCTCAATGTACATGCCAATGGCTGCTAAGGGGGAATGAGAGACAGGAGAATTCGGCTTTTAGCTAACGCGCACGCTGCGAATTTTTATTGTTCAACAACGCACAGAAGAAATTTCCCACCAGCACCACCTTGGAGGTCAAAATGTAAGACTGGTTACACACTACTACTACGACTACAAGGGACGAACGGGTGCCGCTATAAGGAGCTTCGCCCTTAAAATAGAAGGTTGGGCTGGGGCTTGCTCCCCACGCGAGATCGGTTGCAGCGATGGCAGGTGGTTCGCACTTCCACTTGCCCCTACTGCGTAATGGTAGAGACCAATCGACATGCGACGTTTGAATGTGTGGTTTCCCGCCTTTTTTGGCCTGCGGTTAATGCTGGTTTTCGGGGACAGGGTGTGCCAACTTTCGTGTCCAACGGCCGATTTCCGCGTAGCCGCTTCTCCGCTCTCTTAATAGTTGCGGGGCTGTTCAGCCTTTGGAGAAACCGATGTGAGGCCGTAGCTGCCCATTGCCGCCGGCGTGCCTTGTGGCTGATACTGGGGAGAATGAGACGAGAGATCCTCGCGTTCCTCTCCGAGGAGCTTTTCTTCCTCGGGGAGCAGGAGTTTCTGCGGCATTAGTCGTGCCCTTTCGTCAAGGTGGAACACGAAAGGATACAACTCATTTTTCGACCGACTTGGTGCTAAGGAGTGCCTGTTGAGTTGTTATATATGATTTCATTTGTTACAAACTGTGTTTCATTTGGATCTATTGTATCGTTATACCCTTGTATCGTGATATCACATTGAATTCTTGTGTACATGTATGCCAACATAATCATGTATATTAGAGCAAATGTCTTCACTGTAGGGTAGTAATGTTAGTCGTGAAATATAGATGTGCCGAAGTGTATGTGCCCTGTTACAGGAATGGCATGAAGCCTTTGTGCTCTGTACATGCTGTAAATAAATTTTTTCTAAACACAAAATAGAATAGACGTCGGCTGATTTTCATGAACAAGCACATCGCATTTACACCTTTGTAAGAATTCTTTTGGCCGAACCGCGCACGTCGTTTAAAAGTAAATTCGTTTTGACTCTTCCTCCTAGTTTCCTGTTGATTGGCATTTCTTTTGCCAAGTATGTAAGGGTATATATAGTGATTGATTGATTTGTGGTGTTTAACGTTCCAAAACCACTACATGATTATGAGAGGCGCCGTAGTGGAGGGCTCTGGAAAT